CTCCCCGGCCTTTGGCGACGGCACGCGCGACGCGTTCCGCGCGCGCTTCGGCGCCGTCGACGGCGCCAGCGCCAGCGTCCTGGGGCCGTGACGATTTTCGAGAGATTTCGGCTGGGAAAACGATGAAAAATCGTTACCGACATGCTTGGTAGGCCGGCGCCGCCGAGCTCCGCGCGCTCCTGGCGCCCCACCTCCTGCGCCGCGTCAAGGAGGACGTCGCGGCGGACCTACCGCGCAAGGTCGAGGTCGTCGTCGACGTCGAGCTCACGCTGGACCAGAAGCGCCACTACCGCGCGCGCGCCCGAGCGAGCTCCGAAAGTCGCGGCCCGCCCCGAGCGAGACTCCCCGCGATCCCGCGCGCCGCGCGCAGGCGCTCTACGAGCGGAACGCGGGCGCTCTCGCGGCGCTCCGAGGCGGCGGCGGCGGCTCCCGGCTCCCGCGTCTCACGAACCTGTGCATGGAGCTGCGCAAGTGCGTCAACCACCCCCTCCTCCTCGCGGGCGTCCGCGACGCGTCGCGTGAGGCGCTCCAGGACGCGCTCCTCGCCGAGACGGGCGCCGGCGCCGTCGCGCCCGCGGCGTTCGAGGCCGCGGCTGCGGAGCGGCTCCTCGTCGCCGGCTCGGGCAAGATGGTCTTCCTCGACAAGCTCCTGCCGCGCCTCCGGAGCGAGGGGCGCAAGGTGCTCGTCTTCTCGCAGTTCGTCCGCGTGCTCGGCCTCGTCGCCGAGCTCTGCGCGCACCGCGGCTACGACGCCGAGGCGCTCACGGGCGCGACGCCGGCCGCGGACCGCCAGCGGGCCATCGACCGCTTCAACGCGTCGCCGGACGCGTTCGTCTTCCTGCTGTCGACGCGCGCGGGCGGCGTCGGCATCAACCTCTGCGCCGCGGACACGGTCGTCATCTACGACAGCGACTGGAACCCGCAGAACGACGTCCAGGCCATGGCGCGGTGCCACCGCCTCGGCCAGACGCGCGACGTCGCCGTCTACCGCCTCGTCGCGCGCAAGTCCTTCGAGGGCCACATGCTCGAGGCCGCGGCGCGGAAGCTCGGGCTCGAGCGGGCCGTCATGGGCCGCGGCGCGCCGGGCGCCGCGGAGCTCGAGCGGTGCCTGCGCCTCGGCTGCGCCGGCGCCGGCGACGACGCCGCCGACGCCGCCGCAGACGCCGCGTTCCGCGCCGCGGACATCGACGAGCTCCTCGCGGCGCGCGGCCGGGCCCGCGCCGGCGGCGGCCTCGAGGGCGCGCCGCCGGGCGACGCCGTCGACGTCGACGACCCGGACTTCTGGGCCAAGGCCATGCCCCACATGGTCACGCCCGAGCTCGTCGCCGCCCGGCTCGACGCCGACGTCGGCGCCGCGGCCGCCGCGCGCGTCGCCGACGACGTTGCGGGCCTCGCGGCCGCGGCGCTCGAGCGCCGAGCCGCCGGCGACCTCGACGACGCGGGCAAGGCCGCGCACCTCGCGCTCCTGCTTCGCTGCTCCCTCGACGACCGCCTCGCCTCCCCTCTCCGGCGCCGGGCCGCGGACTGGTACGCCGAGCTCGACGGCACGCGCCCGCGCGGCCGGCCCGCCGCGGGCCGCGCCGCGCCGGACTCGGGCTCGGACTCGGGCTCGGGCGCGGGCTCGGAGTCCGACGCGTCGGACGGCGGCGGCGCTCGGCGCC